CAGTAGTGGGGCCTCCGGATCTGGCACTGTTACCAAGAGTTTGCTAGCCATGTAATTTTTGAGTCGCTGGAAGGCCTCCGACTGCTTTGGTTCCCATTCCACCTTGTCTCCGCCTCTCAGAGCTCTAAAGAATGGGAGGCTGTGTTCTGCTGATTTTGAGATAAATCTGTTCAATGCTGATATTCTTCCAATGAGTTTTTGCACTTCCTTTTTGATTGATGGCTCCACCATTGAGATTATAGCCTTCATCTTCTCTGGGTTGGCCCGAATACCTTCGGATCCTATGATGTACCCGAGCATCTTTCCTCGGCTGACACCGAAAACACACTTGTCTGGGTTTAGCTTTAGGCCTGCTTCCCTGAGATTGGCGAAGGTTTCCTTTACATCTGCTATATGATCTTCCTCATTCTTGCTCATTACTACAATGTCATCGACATAAGCTATGATGTTTTTCTGTAATTGTCGGCCAAGGACTGCCTTCGTCATTCTGGCGAAGGTTGAGCCAAATTTGATGATATCCTGAGAAACAATCCAGTAGGGAGAAGCGCTTGCATCTTGCTGCCTTATCGACGAAGGTGTCTATCCTTGGTAGCGGAAATAGATCTTTCTTGCATGCCTTGTTCAGATCTGTAAAGTCTATGTGCATTCTCATCTTTCCATTCTTCTTTGGCACCAGCACTACATTTACTAACCATTCTGAATACTTGACTTCTCTGATGATGTTTGCATCTAACACCTTTGCACTTTGACCTTTTTGCCAATATTCTATCCTCGGACATTTTCCTTTGTTTCTGCTTTCTTGGTTTCATTTTGGGGTTGATGTCAAGGGAGTGTTGTATGATATCCCTATTGACTCCTTTTACGTTGAGTCGACCGGCGAAGACTTTTTTATTCTGGCTAAGGTTTCTATGAGTTCTGTTTCTTCTGCCTTCGATAGGTTAGCTCCGATGGTGACCTTTTCTGTTTGAGACTGCATGTTCCAATGGGACCGACTTTGTTTCTTCTTGATCTTTGAGATCTGTTTTGCCCTTGGCATGTTCGGAGGCTCTAGCTCGAGTTTTCTTTGATGAATCAACATAATTGATGTTTCGCTGCGATTTGTAGATAGCTCTTTCTATGTTTCTTGCTTCTTTCTGACTGCCATGTATTGTGATGGTGTCGTGCAAAGTGGCATCTTCATGCACAAGTAACCCATATGGATGGCTGCTATTGAACTTGTTCATAAAACTCTCTGCGAAGATGGCGTTGTATACGGGTAATAGAGGTCCACTACGTCAAAGGTTACATATTACATTCTTGCATTTTCACGGCCTCCGAAGGAAAGCTGGCAGGATATTATTCCTAGTGCATCAATCTTCTTTCCCCGAAACCGATTAGTGGTGAATCCGAAGGCTACACATTTGGGTCTGCTTAGTTTCATCTAGTCGAAGGCATTAATGAAGATGATATCTACTGAGCTTCGAGTCTATGAGAACCCTATTGATCTCCCAACCCGCTATGTTGGCCCCTGATTACCATAAGCGTCGGTATGGGGGTAACTTTCTAATTCTGAGGTCTTGCTCGAGAAGGTGATTGGTGGCTTCGACCAATCTGCATGTGGCGCATTGGGCCTTTAGACTGCTATGTTGTTGATGAGCCTGAGGTGATCCTTCTTTTTCTTCTTTGTATAGAATTCCATTGAAGAGCCTTCGGCTATTGGCAATATCATGCCGATGGTGGGTAGTGGTGTATGTGGGTTGAGTTGATTTTCTAAGTTGGGCTCATTTTTGGAGGCGGCTAGCTGTGGTGGAGGTGGCGGTGGAGGTGCTTCTAGTTGTCTATTATGGACCTGAGCTAGTTGGTTTGTCTCTATGTATGTTATGTGCGGAGGCCTTGAATTTATGTAGGTGAGGTTGGCTTTTGCTCGCTGATTACTTGCATGTCCTTACTGTTGGGTACTTGGTCGGCATGCAGGTAGGAACTTGGGATAGTATGCGGCTGCTAAAGTGGATGGGTGAATTTGATTGGAGTTAAGACTTGGGTAGATTGGGCAATATGGCTGCTGTGAAGGCGCATCGAAGGTGTGGTTGACCTCCCTGGCGGGTTGTTGTGATGGAGGCTGAGTGTTTTCTCTGCTGTTTATCCTTTCTTGAGTTTCCTTCGCGTCTGGGCAATCTCTGGTGATGTGCCCTTTGTTTTCTCCATGAAAGAAATAATACTGCCTCCACTGTCTTGGTTCTTGGGTTTTGTTCCAGATCTTCCTTTGATTGTATTTCTTGCCTTCGTACTGCTTGTGTGATGGCTTGTTTTGTTTTGCCTCCGTCATGTGCTGCCGCCGCTGATTGTTTCCTTGCTGTTCTATGTTAAAAACTTGTTGACCAGAGGTCTGCTGAGGCTGCAATTGGCCTTGGCTTATGTTGCTCTTCTAAACATTCCTGCCACTTGTTTTCTGCTTGTTCTGATTTTGTTCTTCTAGCCTTCTTCGGAGATCATTGTCTGACCTACAATACTTCTCAAACTCTGTATATAGTTCCTGTATAGTGCTTGGCTTTTCTCGAGCTAGATGAGCCGCGAAGGCTCCGATGCGGAGGCCCTTGACTGCGGCCTCAATTGCCACATCCTCTGGGACATTTGGTGCCTTCGCTTTAAGCTGCATAAACCTCTAAAAATAATCTCTTAGCGCTTCACCTTGATTCTGTCTGCACTGAAATAAGTCCATTGATGTCAGAGATTCGATGGTGAACCCTTTGAAGTTAGCGATGATCTTATCTCGGAGGTCTTCCCATAAATATACCGAGCTTGGCCTCAACATTGAGTACCATGCCAATGCGTCTCCTTCAGCTGCGATAACAAATGACTTGGCCAAGACAGTGTCATTCCCTCCTGCGGATGCTACGGCTGCTTCGATACTCATGATGAACTCGCAGGGGTCTGATCTTTCGTTGAATTTGGATAGGGTAATGTGCTTGTAAGATGGTGGCCAAGGTAAGGTTTGGATTCCCTCGGAGAGTGGGGATTTTGAATCTATAGCTCTATAGGATGGCGGCGAGTTGAACGGTGCGTCGAAGGTTGACTGGCCGCCATACCTGGCGAAGGGTTAGGCTAGCTTTGATCTGTTGACTGGAGCTGGTTGGAAATGTTAGTCTGGGCTGGCTTGGCTGCATACTCTGAATTTTTGTCTGCAGGACGACCAACTATTGCCTAATCTCTGCTGCCTGTAATGATCTGTGCTACGCTCTAATTTGTGGTGAAGGTTGCTGCCAGCCTATCTCTTTCTTGTTGTGTACTCTGCAGCTGGGCTTGCAATTGATGGAGTACTTGCTCTAGGGTGGGATCTGAGGCTTGTTGATCTTCGGCTACCGGAGGCTGAGCTTCGACCACGGGTTCTTCCACAACCTGGTCCTCTAGGGCACTGGCGTAAGTGTTGCGGGTATTACGCCTGAGTCGTCCCCTTGTCGAAGGCTCCGTAGGTGTTCTGGTGCGGGCTGCTCTTTTTCTCGGCATCATGGGTTTTGCTTGACCAATGCGCGTTGGGCACTAATGTTGGGAAGTAGCGCTTTCCAGCAAGTGGTATGGAGTGAGCCTCCACCCGGTCGGATGCCCCAAGCGAAGGTAGAGAAAGAAGTAGGTGGGTCCTGGCTCAATTAGGGTTTCATAAATGCACTCACCAACCACCCCCCAAAAAGTTTCAGCTCTCCCCTTTTATAGGGCACTATTCACTACTTTTCCCTTTTACATATTTGTCCTACAACTACTACGGTACATTCCCTGAATATCCTCTTGTTAGTGCAGGTGGCCCGGGGCAAATTGGACCTTTCTTTCTTCACACCGCGTTGTCTCCATGGGCCTGAATTGCCGGCCCAAAGGGAAGCCCATTCCTGGCCCGAGGTTGCCTCCGCGCCATGAACCCTCCTGCTATGGTGGAGCTAGCTTCCGCCTCCGCCCATGGCACTGTGGCCTCTTGCTCATGGTACCGCGGCCTCCGCCTTCACCAAGCGACCACCGTCCGCCTTCGCCGAGCGACCTTCACCTGCCTTCGCCGGGTGACCTCCAGCCTTCGCCTCACGTGGCCATCAGTGCGGAGGCCTTCTTATAACTTTCCTACACATCACCGAAAAATTGGTTCTCTTGTTAGTCTTCGCTGTCTCTAGACTCTATGGCCTCCGTGGCTCGTGGTCATTCCCCAATAGTAAGCAACAAAATTTCCATCAGAAAAAGAAAAAAAAGACTTTTTAAAGTTGAAGTGAGGACAATTGCCTTCAATTTTGGATAATCATATGAAAAAACAACTACTCAAACTACATACTTGTATTAGTATACTTGATTGTTGAATTCCTCTTCTGTTGGAGAAAGTACTTTGCTTTTCGTATACTCTGTAATATGAAATTTTGACTTACAACATATATAAAAGTATATTATATTAGAAACAAAGAGCCATGCATATGTCATTATAACTATATTTTACAATGAAACAAGTAAGGCAAAATTATTGCGGACACTAAAAGTGGAGGTCATTTCTTTGGCGGACACTTAAAGTGGAGCCATTTCTTTGAAAGACACTCTAGTTATTGACAATTATCTTGCTAGACACCGCGCCTCTTATTTTATTCATTTTTCCTTTGGTTGAGGAGAAAAATGTGGAGAAATGTCATTCTTGCCCTACCTCTTTCTTCATCCTCTCTCTCGCATTCTTTTTTTTTTCTGTGGTGGCGGCAGAGGCGGGCCGGGCGAAAGGTGGGGCAGGGGCAGTTCTGCTGCTGCGTGAAGGCGCACCTTGGCGGCGGGGCTTCTTCGGAGATGGTGGTTGCTGCGCTGCCTAGGAGCCGAGCGGCGCTCTCCTCGCCCGCTTTTTCGCGTGGCTTCGCGCCATGCCGTGTGTCCGTCTAGATCTTGGCCAGCCTGGTGGGGATCTTCGCGCCATGGCACGGAGCTGAAAGCAGTGGGGGACGGCCGACCACCGGCGGTGGTGGGTGCGATAAAAGGTATGTCGAGGCGCTAGTGCCCATGGAGGAGAGCAAGCGATGGTGACATGGCCGCCATCGCTCGTCGGCAGGGTCGTAGGGACAGGGCAGCCTCTTGGCCATGGGCGTCTGGCTGCTAACACCTTGTATGCCGTGGAAGGAGAAAAGAAAAGCGGTGCGAGGGTCGGCGTCGTCGCCGACGTCAACTCCAAATCAAGCTCACAATCTGTTGCACATGGGAAGTTCGACTGCAGAGAATGTGTAGGTCGCCGAAGCCAAGAAGGACGAGGGCGACAACAAGCCTCCGGCCCCTGCCGCCGCCGTTGCAGCGTTGCCCCACTTAGTCGCGTCGAGCCCATGGTACTACCAGCAGTACCCGCAGTCGTCGGCCCTGGTCTACGAGCATCTCGCGGCCAGGTACGCGTAGGGATACCATATGCAGACTGACATTAAAAAAAGGAAAGGGAGAGAGGAAGAAGAAAGAGACAGGGGGCAAGAATGTCATTTCCCCACCTTTCTCTCTCCTCAACCAGTGGAAATAAATAAAATAAGGGGGCGTAGTGTCTAGTAGCATAATTGTCAATAACGAGAGTGTCTTTCAGCAAATGGCTCTACTTTGGGTGTCCGCCAGTAAACGACCTCCACTTTTAGTGTCCGCTGGCCAGTTTTGCCAACAAGTAAATATCGACATTTGTCAATCTATAAATTCAAGATATTTATATACTTATGGTAAAAAGTTTGACTTAAAACCTAGATTGACTTGAGGAAGTAGTTTTATGGTGTTCTCACTTAAGTGTCCCGATAAAATTGTAGTGCTCTTGCCTTTGCCAAAACTTTCTCCTCTTGATAATTTTCCTGTCTATTTTTTTTAAAATCCTAGTATTCATCTTATAAGGGATTGAATGTAAAGTATGTTGATTACTATTGTGGAAACAACTAGTATTAGCTCCATTGTTCTGTCTAGATTCCTTTACACTTTTGGATGCAATATCGAGCTCCATTGAACTGAGTTTCTTTTTGGGAAAATCACAGGTAAAAATAATTCAGAGGGCAAGCTTTTTGGAATCATATTGCCTATAGTGTTTGTTGTTGTAGTAACTGCCATAGCCCTCTATGTTTGTAAAAAGAGAAGATCTCAAAGAATAAAGCTACCCCATGGAAGTAAGTCCTATATACTGCTTGGTATGACCCTATAATAACTTTTATTATTTAGCACTGACAATTGAAATGACACAAATTTACCAGCTCATACGGTTGAGGACTTCGGAAGCATCAAGTCAACATTATTATCATTATCATCACTACAAGTTGCAACAAATAACTTTGATGAAAGCAATAAACTTGGTGAAGGGGGATTCGGTGTAGTTTATAAGGTATGATGACACCCTTTCAATACTTTCTCATGTGCAAGTTTGTAGCAAGCTTTTATGTAAAAGAATATGCATGATTACTGGACAACATACATCAATTGGTTTATACAAAGGATTGTTAGAGTATGACTATAAAGCATCAACTTAGAACTCAAGTTCATTAAAAAGTAATCGTACTCAATTATTGTGAATTGTAATACATGAAGCTTTTAGAATTTTTTAGCATTTATATTGTATTGTTTAATCAACTTCATGGAAGATAATAATTTTTTTGTAGGGAGATCTTTCCGGACAGGAAGTGGCTGTGAAGAGGATGTCAAAGGGTTCGGGTCAGGGGCTAGAAGAACTAAAAACGAACTAGTTCTGGTTGCCAAACTTCACCACAAGAACCTCGTTTCGCCTAGAAGGTTTCTGCTTAGAAGAGGAGAAAGATTGCTTGTCTATGAGTACATGCCCAACAAAAGCCTCGATACTATTCTTTTTGGTACTAAAATAATCTTTACAAAAGAATTTATAATTTTTAGCATCTCTACTTGTGCTATAACGTCAAAATTTTGATTGTTTGTTAGACCACGAGGAAAAATACAACTAGATTGGAGGAAGCGGTTCAATATAATAGAAGGAGTTGCTAGAGGATTACAATATCTCCACGAGGAATCTCAAAAGAAGATAATCCATCGCGACATGAAAGCGAGCAATGTTTTGTTGGATGCAGACATGAACCCTAAGATTGGAGACTTTGGCCTAGCTAGGCTCTTTGGGCAAGATCAGACTAGAGATGTCACAAAACACATTGTTGGGACATTGTAATCAATCTTTATTATCTAGTAGCTATTATTTAAGTCTCCCTTTTTTGACACATAATTCTCTCTAACTAACCATGTCGCTAATTCTTTCTCGTCAGCGGTGGCTACATGTGTCTCCCGAGTACGTGATGCGTGGGCAGTTTTCCACAAAATCAGATGTGTTCAGTTTCGGGATCCTTGTTATAGAGATCGTAACAGGGCGGAGAAACACAGGGCATTACTTCTATGATGAGCAAAATGAAGATATTATAAGCCTTGTGAGTTCCAACAAAACACACACTATATATCGTACATGTAATAGTACATGTATGTTGCTAGATTATATTGTTTCTCATTGTGAACCGATGAAACCGATGCTAGGTATGGAGGCACTGGACCGAGGGAACAATTGCAGAGATGATAGATGATTCTCTGGGGAGAAATTACTCAGAGACCGAGGTGCTAAAATGCGTTAACATTGGTTTGTTGTGCCTTCAGCAGAGTCCCATGGACCGACCTACGATGTCTGATGTCATGGTGATGCTCAGTGGTGATGATGATACTAGTTCTCTACCACCTGCTGCGAGACCCACATTTTTCTTGGATAGAAGCACAGGTTACTCCTATAATTCATGTACTATTACGCATCTGTCTGCCAGATAGCACATGCGTTTGTGGATCGTAGCACATTGTTACTTGTTTACTTCTTGATGTATAGTAGTTCAGATCAACTAGTTCAATTCATCACAAAGTGTGATCTGTAGTTACCAATTGTAATTGTGGTTACAAAAAAGTTTGGCCATTCTAACACCAATCTCACACAGATCTTTCTCAGCCACCCAACCTTTTCAATTTGATGGCTATCTTCCTCTATTGAAGCAAAGTAGAAGGCAGTATGGCATCATCCAAAGGGGGAAATTTTAACTGTGCTTGCAAATATGTGATCACAGATTATTCCCTCTCACGTCTTCTCACAAGTTGTGTTCCGTTCGGTTCTGGGGGACTTTCCATCCAAAAGGAAAAACTAAAAAGATTTGGCCGCCCATGGGGATTAGAGACGCGATTCCGCTGCCAAAGGGAAGAAACGCTGTAGCCTGTGAGTAGCATCCAATTGCAAACACAAGGCAGTGCAGTGTGCAGTGTGCGGTGTGCTGCAGCCTGCTTGTGTCTGGTGTCAAGTACGTATCGTGTTCGCAGGTGCTCAGGTTGCGTCGCCTCGCGGGAATGCATGCGCGCCTTGATCCGGTCCACAATCCCCATTGACGTCGCTGCGCGCCGTGTTGATCGTCCGCTGCCCCGCCCAACCCAAGGGGCTCGTGTTCAAGGTGACGATTCGAAGATGGCGCGGACTTGAGTCTTGAGGTACGGTGTGTGGGTGTGGACCTTCAACTCTGAACATAGTACTCTACTGCAAAGTCCGTCCGCAACGACATTATTTACAAGAATTAGTACGTGTATACAGACAAGCAGTTGCAACGACTTGACCTCTCGTTGTTTTGTGCGACCTCAGCTCGTTCGGCTGATATTAAAGTCGATCGATAAGTCGGTTGAAGTTTGTTTTGTTGTGAGAGAAAAATACTATAAATTAGTTAATAAGTTAGCTAGCTGAAGCGAACATGCCAGAAGAAACCACCACTCACCAGCCGCGCCGCTGTCTTCTCTTCCGGCAAGCTATACCCCTTTTTTAATGTCCGTGATATCAGCTTCAAGTGCAGCTCTTCTGGTCACTAGAGACTGGACCAAAATATCAGTACTACCAAGTTGAAACACGTGCATGCAGATGCAGCTGTTCTGGTCAGGTTTCTACGAAACTGGGCAAGCAACTTGCAGCTCCTCTTTCCGTCAGCTTTTGCCTTTTGGAATTCGCTTCCATTTCATCGTCGTCCTCCAACTTCCAAAGAGAACGCATCGGCAAGAGTAGCCAGCAAGTCGCTGTTATATGGAGGGAGACCCACCCAGCTGCCTGCTATCATATATACTAGTACCGGCTACCGATGCCACTGCCACGCATGCATCCCTGATGGTGCATTTATCACCTCTGAGATCCTCTCCGTGCCAAGTTTCTCTGCATCCAACGATCCAGCTCACCGGTTCTCCCTCCTTCGCGTGCGCTATGCACGGCCGCGCCCTTCGCACCCCCCGCCCTGCTAGCAGCAGCGCTGCTGGCGTCGGCCGTCACGCTCACGCTTCTCCCTCCGCCGCCGCGCAGCCGTGGGTTGGCCCGTGGCCGACGTGCGACGACACCACGGGCAACTACTCGGCCGGCAGCGCCTACGCCAACAACATCAAGCAGCTCATCCACAACCTCCAGACGAACGCGTCCAACACGCCCGCCCTCTTCGCGACGGGCTCCGCCGGCGCAGGACCGGACACCGTCTACGGGCTCATACTCTGCCGCGGCGATCTCAGCCCCACCGACTGCTTCGACTGCGGCACCAACGCCGGCCAGGACGTGTACCGGATCTGCAACCACACGCGGGACGCGGCGCTCGTCTACAACCAGTGCTACGTCCGCCTCGCCCCGACGGACTTCCTCGCCTCCATCAACAACACCGGCATGGTGGGCCTCATCAGCGGCGAAAGCGTCCCCGCAGGCGTCGACGTCGCGGCCTACGACGGCGCTGTCACCAGGCTGCTCAACGCCACCGTGCGGTATGCGGTGGACAGCTCGGCCCCGTCGTCGTCCCCGAGGAAGTACTTCGCCACGGGGCAGATGGTGGGGCTCGACCCGCAGCTGCAGCTCCGGACGGGCATCTGGTCCATGGCGCAGTGCGCGGGGGACATATCGCCGGCGCAGTGCCGGAGCTGCCTGGACGATTTGCTGGCGCAGTGGTGGGAAGTGTTCGACCGCAACGAGACCGGCGCCAGGCTCGACGGTTCGCGATGCAACCTGAGGTTTGAAACGGGGAACTTCTACACCGGCGTCCCGATGGTGAAGCTGCAGATGAATGGCGAGGGGGCCGCTCCAGCGCCGGCGCCTTCGACGGATGTTGTACCTGGCACCACCGCAGGTGAGTGCTTAATTGCTTATTCCTCTAGATTAACTCGATTACTTAATTCTCACCAATATTTTACATAAATAAATAATAACTCCTAATTATCCACCTTACCATTATGAAAGATAATTCAAAATAAACCTCTTAAATTTGCACCAAAATTACCTACCTCTTCTATTATGAAAAATAATTCAAAATAATCCTGGATATTTTTATAAACTACCTCTGATATCTTTCGTAATGGCATAAGTGGGTAATTTAGATATAAATTTAGGATGTTAGATATGGGCAATTTAGATGTTACTTTATGTATTTTTATAGTGACGATAGAGATGTGTAATTTTTTAATACAACAGGATAGGTCCAATGGCTCTATTGTTTGCCATGATGATTAGTGTACAAATTAAACGTTAGATGCTTTCAATTATTGTGAGATCTCTAGAATGTATCTTTTTCCCATGACACTAACGTGGAGGCTCTGTTGGAGCATAAAATTAGTAATAGTAAGATTGAACAACATCAATCGCAATGGTGAGCATGACAAAAGGAAGTTGACACATCAATTGCTAGACAAACCTAAATTGAAATTTTCTTTTTTGGCAAAATCACAGGTAAAAAAAATTCAGTTGGCAAACTTCTCAGAATTATATTGCCAATAGTATCTGTTGCTGTAATAGCTGCCGTAGTCCTCTGCATATGGATTGTTTGTAAGAAGAGAACATCTCAAGGAACAAATATTCCCCGCCGAAGTAAGTCCTTTGTATAGTTTGGTATCAAGTATATTACCTTTTGGTCTTTAAGCATTCAAAACTAAATCGGTGCAAATTTACTAGCTTATATGACTGAGGACTTCGAAAGCATCAAGTCAATATTGTTATCGCTGTCATCGCTACAAGTAGCAACAAATAACTTTGATGAAAGCAATAAACTAGGTGAAGGGGGGATTCGGTGCAGTTTACAAGGTATGATGACACCCTCTTCATTAATAGTTCCTTTACAAGTTTGTAGCAAGATTTATGTAAAAGAGTCCGTGTGATTGCTGTACAATGTACATGAGATAGTTGGTTCATACCAGATTGTCAAAATATGAAACGAACAAATATATAAATCATGGGCTTTGTACTCATGTTTTTCTAAAAAAAATATATCAAGTATTATGACTTATAATACTTAAAACTTTTGGAACATTTTAGCATTTTATATTATGTTCATTTAATTAACTCATGGCGATAATAAAATCTACGTAGGGACATCTTTCCGGACGGGAAGTGGCTGTGAAGAGGCTGTCAAAGGGTTCAGACCAAGGACTAGAAGAACTAAAAAATGAGCTAGTTTTGGTGGCCAAACTTCATCACAAGAACCTTGTTCGTTTGGAGGGTTTCTGCTTAGAAGAGGGAGAGAGGTTGCTCGTCTATGAGTACATGCCCAACAAAAGCCTCGACAATATTCTTTTTGGTACTAGAAATAATCTTCCCAAAGAATATACACAACATTTTTGTACTTGTAGTAATCTTAAATTTTGGTTGCCATTTAGATCACGAGGAGAAAAGACGACTAGATTGGAGGAATCGATTCAACATAATAGAAGGAGTTGCACGTGGATTGCAATATCTTCATGAAGACTCTCAAAAGAAGATAGTCCACCGTGACTTGAAAGCGAGCAACATTTTGTTGGATTCACACATGAACCCTAAGATTGGTGACTTTGGCCTAGCCAGGCTCTTTGGGCAAGATCAGACTCGAGACGTCACAAACAACATCGTCGGGACATTGTAATCAATCATTATCATCTAGTAGTTAATCGTTCAATGTTTGATTTAAATACATAATGCAATCTAATTGACCATGTTGCTAATTCTTCTTGTTGCAGTGGCTACATGTCTCCCGAGTACGTGATGCATGGACAATACTCCACAAAATCAGATGTATTTAGTTTCGGCATCCTTGTTATAGAGATTGTAACAGGACAGAAAAACGCTGGGCATTACTTCGACGAGCAAAATGAGGATATTATAAGCATTGTGAGTGTTTGCCCATAAACACACTATCCTGCCTGTAAGACTACTTGAAAAATTCTAGATTATATTGTTGCTGATTGCGAACACATGAAATCAATGCTAGGTATGGAAGCACTGGACGGAGGGAACGCTTATAGAGATTATAGATGATTCTCTAGGGAGAAACTACTCGGAGACTGAGGTGCTAAAATGCGTTAACATTGGCCTGTGGTGCCTTCAACAGAATCCCATGGATCGACCTACGATGTCGGATGTCATGGTGATGCTCAATGATGTTGATACTAGTTCTCTGCCTGCTGCTGCAAGGCCAACTTTTTTCTTAGATGCAAGCTCTGGTTACTCTTACACTTCAGGTACTATTTCACACCCTTCTGCCAGGTAGTGTAGGCTGAGGCCTAATGCACACCTTTTGCTTGTTGTATATTAGTTGCAAAATAAACATGGAATTCACCATGATTTGTAATGTGCTCACTAATCACTATAGTTTCTTACTAAATTCTCAATTATAAAGTTTCTCTTACTAGAGGTCCCGCAGGCTTTCAAAAAAGTATGGAAATGCTTACTCATTGGAAAATTGGAAAAGGTTGTGCTCACTATATATATATCCTTCTCCCCCCAACTATTCCCATTGTTTTCTTGAGTGATTATTTGAGAAATTATGCTCTATGGTGAATGAAAAATGTTGTGAGCAAGATCTCGATCATTGAGCACTTGTTACTTTGTTAATTAAGACACCGAATTTGTTACCCTTAGAGCTTGGCTAGGCATCTCCCATTAAAGCACCGAAGCTCTGTAGAGTGATTAGGAAATTTTGTATTGCCATGACATATCTAGCAAAAACCCTCAAACCCAATCTTTGTCAATCAATCGAAGAAGAGATAGGGTTGGATGAAACCTAATAATTCTTCTTTATTTTGTCTCAAAAGAAACGTTGTTTCATCATGTATTCCTATATGTAAGTTATTCTTTATTCATATATTCTCTTTTGATAAGAGAGATAAGGGAACTATGTTTCTCACTGGATATATGCCGTGCGTGCTGTTGCGAGGCAACAAATTTGTATCCATTTGTACAATTATACACGTGTTTTATGGTTTACACAAACATACTAACAATTTTTCATCCATGTCTATGACGATGCATATGGCTTGTGGTTTAGATGAACATATAAAGAAAATACAAATTTGATTACATAAAGCATATTTCATGATCTTTATGACATATATTGTGTAGATCTGGTTTATAGAAACCTGACAAAATTCGTTTCATTTTAATTATCATTTCTGTGTTTTATTATTATACATTTTAAAATTTAATAAAATCTAATAAACAGTTTTTGCATTGGAACCCTAAACTGTTTCTAAATTCATCTGGTTTTCCTTCTTCTATGTGGATGTGGTAGACTAACGGGCTAAGTTTGTTACGTGTGAGCATCGGTGAATCACCACGCAACGGAGTCGTCTGCATTACGTGGGCAGAAAGGTCTATCCGTTCGGCCCACGGGCCATGGCATGTCGTTCCTTTGTTTCCTGCTCTCGCATTTGAGGGCGGCGGGTTCTGACGCGACGGCCGCGACGCGCGACGAGGCAAGAGGGGCGCGAGGCGTGACACGTCAGCACGCGCGCGCCAAGGGCGAAGTAGGGGCGGCGTTGGCGGTGCCCACCGCCCGGCGGCATAGGCTGGAGCTAGGGCGCGACGGGCGAAAGCGGAGCATACGACGAAAGCACGTCGTAAGGCGGCGGCTGCTGCGCGCCACCGCTAGCAGCACATACTGTAGCATCACGTCGCCCGCGTCCATGGCGTGTGCGTGCGTGTCCCGCGTCTGCCGGGACTACAGCGTGGCGATAGGGCAGCAGGTCGCGGTGTCCGCCGCCACCAACGAGGCTGTAGCTAAGGCGCGCGTGCGGGCGTGTTTTTTTTTGGAAGGTGGGCCTCGACGGGCGGGGCGAGGCGGGAGCGTGCAGGATTAATGTACTGGACCATGCGTGATGTTTTTATTGTGGTAAGTAAAGCCCTTGCTGAATTTCTCTGTTTGAATATGTGCCCGATCTGTTTTATCAGCATGTAATTAGTTCTTTATATGATTTTCGTTGAGGAAGAGTTTGTTTTGAAATTTTTTTTGCCAGATATGATTTTCGTGGAAGAGTTTATTCGGAAACAGTTTTTTTTTGGTATATGTTTTTTTCAGGAAGTTTTTTTTGTCGTATAGGATTTTTTTTTTGGGAAACGGGACTGTGGTTTTTTTTGCCGTATATATTTTTTACCGTATATAGGGCTGGGGCGGAGTGACAGACGATAGCCATAGGAATATTTTAAGTGGTATAGTAGATTGGGACGCATACAAAGTTTAGCTCTTCTCTTCCTATACTATAGCTCAAAAAGTTCTGTCCTGAACGAAACTGAGATGCCGGCTGCATAGTTTGACCTTCCTTGTCTTTGATTTAAATATATATAAACGTGACATATAACAGCTAGCTGAAGCCGTCGAGGGCTTCTATATGTATGATTGCATTATTGCTCTCACGCGGTGTACTCGCCGGACGATGTGCTGCTAGCTGGAGGTGGCCGACGCCCTGTTCCTGGCGTAGAACGCCGGGTTGGACGGGTTCCAAAGGGAGACCGTGTCGCTACCGAGCATCGTGACGACGGACGACATCACCGGCCGGTCTTCCGGGTCTTCCTGGACGCATAGCAGACCAATGTGGATGCACCTTAGCACGTCGCTCCGGGAGAAGCAGCTTCCCAGGCACGGGTCTACGATGGCCTCGGGCACCACCCCGGCCGTCCAGCGGTCCCATACCTGCACCATGCTTGCATGTGTGCATCGATCGAGGATGCATGGTTTAGTCAAGGGTAAAGACATCTCAGCAAGAAAGAACACGAAAGGGTTATGTTATGAACACTTGAGCAGGAAGGAAGCACTCACGAGGCTCAAGAGATCGTCTTCAGGCGATCGCCAGGCGTCGTCCCGGCAGACGTTGTGCTTCTTTCCCGTCACGATCTCAAGGACCATGACGCCGAAGCTGAACACGTCTGACTTGACGGAGTAGTTCCCGCGCATCACGTACTCCGGCGCCATGTAACCGCTGGAATGGATGGGAATAGACATCCAAAATCTAGTCAAGATCGTCGTCCCTGGATCTGGTCACCTGCCTATTAATTCGAGGAGCTTCTAGGTGGCGGAGACGACACTCACTAGGTACCAACGACATGATTGGTGACACCCTGCGTCTGGTCTCGTCTGAAAAGCCTCGCAAGGCCGAAGTCCGAAATCTTGGGGTTCATGTTCATGTCCAGCAAGATGTTGCTCGCTTTCAGATCACGGTGGACTAGTTTGAGCTGAGAGTCTTCGTGCAGATACTGCAGGCCCCGAGCTATCCCGTGTATGATGTTGCACCTCATTGCCCAGTCCAGCTGTTCACGCTTCTCAGTGTCTGCCCAAAGTAAGGAAATTAAAAGCAGGAGCGAATCATCAAGTTTTAATATCAGATTTTACAGAGGGAGATCGAAGATACGGAGGATGAAGATAATTGAATTCGATTGAATTACTCTAGGCAGGCAGTACCGAAGAGTATCTGATCAAGGCTGCGGTTGGGAACAAACTCGTAGACGAGCAACCTCTCCTGCTGCTCCAGGCAGACGCCGACTGTTGACCTACGAGATCACCGGCTGACGAGAGTGAATCAGATAGCCTCCAGATCACTAGCCTTACACCCCTGGCCTCCAGACCACTAGTCCCCAGACCACTAGTCTCAGACCCCTGGCTTCCAGACCACTAGCCTCCAGACCAATAGCCGTGCCGACCACCGTACAGGCTTTGTCCGTACCCACACACTACGGATCGAGCTAGAAGAAGAAGGGAGAACAGAGCAAGCACGTACAATACAAGACAACAACGTTGGCCGAGGCCCTGTCTGTGTGATGACAAATCTGAACTCTCTTTTCTTGAGTTGCCTTGGTGCCCTATTTATACAACTCTATCTATCTAACTAAAGTACAACGATATGCTGTAATGATAACTAGATAAGCATCTGGGGACTGCCTCTGCGCCGACCTTTGCATGTGTCTCTGATCTTTGTCGAGGTGAGCCGTGCGGCGCTCTGCACCTGCAGCGTCTCTGATATCACAATAGGGGACAAAAGTCGGCGCCGCCTTCCTCTGCTGTGTTCACACAAGGTGGCGATAGATTAGCTAACAATTTTCCCTAATCCTACCGCTAACCCTTGCACCCCTCCATGTCGATCATCTTCTTCACTCCGTGAGTCGAAGTTGTCCGAAGCGGCTTGGTGAGGGGCGTCCGCGAGTTGCCGACCAGTTTCGACAAACTTCGATGACGATCTGCCCTCCATCAACACGATCCACGAGGAAGTGGAACTTCACGTCGATGTGTTTACTCGGTCGTGCGAATTGGATTCTTCGCGAGGGCGATGGCGGGCTGGTTGTCCACCATCGATCTTTGGTGGGTGAGCTTCCACGCCGGTTGGTTCGCTTCGCCCGGCGTACTCCACACAACTTGGCACGCCATTGTGGGCGCCGCCTCGTACTTTACCTCGCACATAGATAGCGCTACCACCTTACATTTTGGCGGCGACGACCATGAAATTGGGGCTAACCCGAGGAAGACGAGTATGCGAGGTGCTCCGTCGTCCGTCGATGTCCCCCGCCATGTCTGCATCGCTGAACACCATGAGCCGCAGCCTACTTCCTCCGGTCTTTGGGAAGATGATTCCATGATTTACCGTCCCCTTGGCGTAAGCGTAGTAGCCGTTTCACCGTAGCCGATGATCCTCTCACGGGATCCTCCATGAAGCGGCCGGCGTAGCCCACGGCAAACGCAATGTCCGACCTTGTGTGGACTAGGTAGCGTGACCACCGATGATGCTCCGAGAGAGTGTTGCATCCACTTTCGCCACGGTCTTTGTCCTTCGTCGCCTTCACCGCTTCCTCCATCGGAGTCACGCATGGCTTGCACTCCATCATGCCGCTCCTCTCCAACAGTTTGGAGGCGTACGCGCTCTGCCCGAGCGTGAGTTCCTCCTTCCCTTGCCTCACCTCGATGCCGAGGTAGTAGAGAGTCGCGCCGAGACCGCTCATTCAAAACGAGCTGCCATCTCGCGCTTGAAGCTGTTGAGGTCCTCCATGCGTGCGCCGGTGACGATTAAGTCATCCACATACACGCCGACCACGAGCTCTTCCTTCCCCCGTCGTCGCGTGTAGAGCGCGTGCTCGGTTGCGCACCTCTGAAACCCAAGCTTCGCCAGCGTGGCGTCAAGCTTGGCGTTCCATGCTCGAGGACTTACCGCAGTTCAGAGCGCTTTGCTTGTGATCGGAGCACCATGCTCCTCTCCTTGACAACGAACCACGGAGGTTGCCTAACAAAGA